TCATTTAATGTATCTTGAAGACATTTAATTATACGCTGGAACTGATGACCATCTTAAAAGTTTATTGCGGCTTACGGATATGTTTAGTAAAGATATTCAGATGGAATTTGGGTTGGACAAATGCCGAATCTGAGTCATCGGAAGAGGTGTTCATGAGTCGCATGAAGGACATAGCTTTGAGAATATGCATATTCAAGCCATGGCTGAAACAGATTTTTATAAGTATTTAGGTATATTGCAAGGTGCACACGTAAAAGAGAGCGATTTAAAAAACAATTTAATGAATGAGTTTATCTATAGAGTGAAATTGGTATTAAAATCTTTACTGTCCGGAAAATATAAAGTAAGTGCAATTAATACATATGCCATACCATTCCTGCTGTACTCTTTTGGTATATTAAAGTGGTCGGACACGGAATTGGAAGCGCTCCAACGCAAAATCAGAACTTTAATCTGCGACTTTCGCATGCGTCATCCAAAATCTGTTGTGGAAAGGATATGTCTACCGAGAAGTATTGGTGGTAGAGGAGTGCTCGATATAACAAGACTATATTACGAACAAGTCGACTCACTTCGCACTTATTTTATTGCCAAAGAGCTCAGTTCTTCTTTGCATAGGGCTATCTGTGGTGCAGATAATAGATTGAGTCCACTTGATCTAAAGAACAGAGTATTCTGAACTTTAGATTCGGTGGTGCCTGACCAGCAAAAAATTGATGAATGGAAATCTAAGGCTCTTCACGGAAAACATGTGAATTACCTTTGGCAGTCATTTATTGATTTGCATTTGTCCAACAAATGGCTCTGTGTAGGGGATCTATTTAGTGAAACTGAAGGATTTGTGTGCGCGATACAGGATGGCGTGGTACCTACTCGTAATTATCGCAAACATATTCTTAAAGAGCGAGTTGAGGATGACTTGTGTCGGAAATGTGGTTCAGTCCCAGAAACATTGGATCACATTATCTCCAGCTATTCTGTAATGGCACCAAGGGAATATCTAAACCGGCACAATGCAGTATGTAAGGTAATCCACCAAAATATTGCATTCAAACATGGATTGATCTCTAAAATTTGTCCAATTTACCAATATAAGCCCACTGCGGTATTAGAAAACGGCAGTTTTCATATGTACTGGGATCGACAAGTTTACACAGATCGACTAATAGCACACAATAAGCCTGATATCCTATTGGTTGATAGAAGAAATCAAAGAAATTTGGAGGCTTCAGCGAGTGGTTGTTGTACCAATAATACTATCAGCCACTGGTATAGTACCCAAAACTCTCACACACTCTATGGACATACTTGAACTCTCTAAACTTCTAATAAATATTATGTAGAAATACGTCTTATTGCATACATGCGCAATGATGAGGGCACCCGTATCTATCAGAAATATGGTGGACGTTACTGGATTTTTAATGGTGAGTCGAGCTAATTGTATACTGCCTTCGTTGCGGCTCGACGACGGCGAAGGAGCGCTTAGTTAATTGTCTGCGATGATGCTGTAAAATTACATGGCTGTCTGCAACTGCGAGCCTTGCGCCCAAACCTGGAGTGGAACCAGCACCATTCTGGATGACTGCTCGATTGGGAACGTGGTCGGCTGCGGCCTCTCAGTGAACGCCTACCTTGCTGTAGACGGGAGTTCATGTCTAGACGACTCAGCCGTTGCTCGATTTGGTCTAAGCGCTGACACACTTTTTCTGCTTCGGACCAGGTACTACCGCTGCCTGAAGACATTGCCGAAATCTGATGATAATCGCCTGTCTCGCAAATCTTGTCAGCCAATTTGGCTAACTCGCTCAGTTCTACGCTTGACGTTTGAAGAATCGCGCGCACTTGTGGAGGCAAACGCTGGAGCCAGAGTGTTTACAATTATTCGTCGCTCAACTTATCCTTCGCCAATGTCGTCAGTTCGTTTAGCAATTGAGTAGGCCGACGATCGCCAAGTTGTACGTCTGATAACAGCCGCTGAATTTTACGCTGTTCTGATTCACCATACCGTTCGATTATTTGTTTTTTTAGGTTCTCGTAACTGTTTGCTGCTGGCGGATGAAGCACTGCGTCAGCCACGTCGGCTACGATGCTGGACTCTATGGCAGCCACTATGGTGTTGAATCTCGTCATGTCGTTGCACACACCTGCCCCCGCGAACTGCGCCTCGATCTGCGCGAACCATATTTCGGGTCGCTCGTGCCAGAACGGAGGCACCTTCACCGAAACGCGATTCACCACTGGTGCCGAGTCTTCGCGCTGCTGTCCGAGCGATGCTGCATTCTCATTTTGCACCGATATTTTTTCCTTAGTTT